ACAACCGCTTGGTCAACTTCTTCGTCCAAGAATTCAAGAGGAAGCACAAGAAGGATCTCTCTTCCAATGCCCGTGCTCTTCGTCGTCTCCGAACCGCCTGCGAGCGTGCTAAACGTACTCTCTCGTCGGCCGCTCAGACCGCCATCGAAATCGACTCTCTCTTCGAGGGCATCGACTTCTACACCTCCATCACCCGCGCTCGCTTTGAGGAACTCTGCCAGGATCTCTTCCGCAGCACTCTCGAGCCCGTCGAGAAGGTCTTGAGGGACTCAAAGATTGACAAGTCCAACGTGCACGAGATCGTCTTAGTCGGTGGTTCCACCCGTATCCCCCGTATCATCAAACTCGTCTCCGACTTTTTCAACGGCAAGGAGCCCAACAAGAGCATCAATCCCGATGAGGCTGTCGCATATGGCGCCGCTGTACAAGCAGCTATCCTCTCTGGTGATACCTCGGAGAAGACGCAAGAAATTCTCCTTCTCGATGTCTCTCCCCTCTCCCTTGGGTATGTACCTTCTCTTTTATTTACAAAGTCATCGCACTAACGTATTTTTACAGTATTGAAACCGCCGGTGGTGTTATGACTCCTCTCATCAAACGAAACACAACCGTCCCCACGAAGAAATCCGAAATCTTCTCTACCTACTCCGACAATCAGCCCGGTGTGCTCATCCAAGTATACGAGGGTGAGCGTGCCCGAACAAAAGACAACAACCTCCTCGGTAAATTCGAGCTCTCCGGCATTCCTCCCGCTCCTCGTGGTGTTCCTCAAGTCGAGGTCACCTTCGACATCGATGCCAACGGTATCCTCAACGTGTCTGCTGCCGATAAGACCACTGGCAAGTCGAGCCGCATCACGATCACCAACGACAAGGGCCGTCTGTCGAAGGAGGAAATCGACCGAATGGTCAACGATGCCGAAAAGTATCGCAAAGAGGACGAGGATGCCGCCGCTCGTATTTCGGCCAAGAACGGCCTCGAATCCTACACTTACTCCCTCCGCAACACCACCCAAGACGACAAGGTCGCCGACAAATTCGATCCCGCCGACAAGAAGAAGCTAGAGGACGCTATCACCGAGACCATCAAGTGGTTGGATGCGTCCCAGGAGGCTTCGAAGGAGGAATACGAGGAGAAACAAAAGGAACTCGAAAGCGTCGCTAACCCCATCATGCAACGGTTCTACGGTGCTGGTGGCGCGGCTCCTGGTGGCGGCCCAGGCGGCGCTCCTGGTGGCTTCCCCGGTGGTGCTCCTCCAGGTGGTTTCTCGTCTGATGGTCCATCTGTAGAGGAGGTCGACTAATTTTGGACGTTACGTTTCTGTTTCGATTCGATTCTCCTGATGATGCGGGCCTGCCGTCGTATCGTTTTTCACATATTTGGTGCTCTGTATGATAATCATAAAGACAATGTCTCTGAGCTACTTTAGAGAATAAACACTGTATTTCCACGCAATATGGTTTGGTGAAATTTTTAAGAAATTTTCATTAGCTCTAAGCGAAGCGACGGGTGTGATTGTGCAATGTGGTCCCTTCGACTTCAACTTCGACCACAAAGTTTTCTATAAAGGAAATGCCACCTAAAACCAAGTTGTTGGACAAAGTCCTCACTCTTCATCGACGAAGAGTACCAGAAAATCAGATTATACAGCCTCTAAAAGAGGGCAACGTCAAGTTGACGGTCGCACAAACATTGTCCATTCGACTCGGTCAACCGATCACGGCGACGCCTTCTGCTCTCTGGGGGGTATCAGCACGAAGAAATAAGACGAGTCCACCGATTAAGATGCGGGAAGCTACGAATGCGGAAAGGGCGTATGCGTTTATGCACCTCCCCAAACCTTCTGAGCGTCCGACACCACCGACGAACCTCAGGATCGTCGACGTTGAGACATGGGATCGTCGGTTGTTCAAACGGATGTCACCTTGGGTAAGGAAGAAGGTGAAGGAGACGTATTTGGCAGAGAAATGAGTGAGCTTTTTTTCGTCTGAGGTCGTACCTCCGGGTGTCCGGGATGTACTGCTAACATGTCTTTAGGTCTTGTGATCTTTTTTCTGTTGGTGCTGTGTCTCCTTTTTGTCCTTGTAAACTGTGGGTTCTTTTCGGAGGGTTCAAGTGCGCGAGGCTGATGGAGTTTTAGAGTTCAACTTCTTCTGTGACGGTATTTAAGTCTAATTTCCAATCTTCCTAAAAGAAAAAAAAAATTTCAACGGCATAAGGGCAAGGGGACCAAGACGATCTCCGATGCCACCCTCCATAAAGTGACCGGGACGTGTTCCACATTTCCCAATTATTCCTTTACTGAGGCAAAACTGCCATCTTTGATGGCAATGAAGTCAGCTGCGGCGCGCGCCCACGATGCGTCGCGCACCCCCGTCTCATATTTCCTATAAAAGGTGGCAGGCTCCCTATTGTTCCTTTGCTTCGGGACGAGAGCATAGCATAGCCTACGAGCTTCTTCCTTCGATCTAGATGCCAGCCTATTTTGTACCGGCGGAAAGCGATGTCGGAGGAAACGAGGCTTTCATCCAACGATCTCGTTGATGGCAATACGTGGAACAGCACTGGTATTGCTCTTTAACGCACGAATAATGCGTGGTTTCCTCTAGCGGGCGCTCCCTCTAGCCAAAGACGGGCGTTCAAAATTTCATTTCGAAGTTTCTCGCCGGCGATAGGATTCAATTGTACCGGCTGGTCAAGCTTTTGAAGGGTTAAGTCGAGGCGCATTAGCCGTCTATCATTGGTCGCCACACTTCAGCTGGTTCGTGACGCTGCTGGATGGCTTTGGTAGATTTCCTTCGAGGGATCGTCCCTTTCGCAGCCTCAAGACCTCCTCCTCCACCTCTGCTGGTTACTCCCAATCATATTTGCCTCATGTTATCATACCATCCCACCCTTGCGCATTCGGTTGGTGGAGTATTCTCGTGACTCACAAGCTACCCGTATAGCTTGACCCCATTAGGATGTTTAGGAGCGATGGGTCGACACCATTGTCCGCCTTTGTTGGCTAAGAGGTGAGACTAAGACGGTTGCTCGCGTCGAGAGAAATGTTGGGCGTATGCCTCGTTGGTGGGCGCGTTGTCGATGAAATACACCGCAATAACAGAAGAGGAAAGATAGAAGACGAGGGGGGATGTTGCATCAAACACGCCAGTGCCACACCGCAGATTGAATCAACAGGGATACAACTATGGCGCCTACGCAGTCAAATGATGAGCTATTCTCGCTTCCTCCCGGAGATCTTGGGCTTTCTGAAACTCATAAAAAGACAGCTTTGTCTTGACGAGTCTGCTCCAGCTTCCGTCCTTTGTCGTCCCGGCACTCCTTCTACACGCTTTCTCATAATCTCGGATTAATTCTCCCCAGATCCAAGAAAGATGCAAAATTTTGAAAATGAAATGGGTACGTACATGAGATTCGCTAAGCCAATCCTAATTGGGTTTAGAAAACGACCATCAGACGCCGTTGCAAATTCCCCCATTCCCCATTCCATCGAGCCATTACTCCCAGACATCATCCCAAGTCTACACTCCTTACTATGGTCCACAGAACGGCTTTGTTTCATCTAATTTGGGCTATAATCCTGTCTACGTTTTCACCGAACACGCCGCCGCCAGATATCACATCGCCCACGCCCCGCTCCCACCGTACGAAAGCTCTACAACCGCATTACCTCCAGATACAAATTATACTTATTGGGAGAACAATGGTATATCCCAGACCGACGATGTAGCGATGGATTACCTGATTCAGCAAATGCGCTCGCCACAAGGCTTTAGTTCGCCGAGCAGTGTCTCGGTACCTTCTGTATACCAGGTGAGTCAGTATTATTGGGAGCTTGCCATCGGGACCAGTAGCCTGACGCATAATGGCCATTTTGGCGATTACGCCCCCTTCAGTTGGACCCAAGTTCCCTTTATCAGCCCCAGCCGGGCCATATAGCCAGCCAGCTGCCTCAACACTTTGACTGGTTCCCGTCCTCTACCGACAGGTTCGAAGGTAATATCCCCAACAACTATCACCTCTCCAGTGCCCAAACGAGTAACCACACCGCTGAATCTACTCCCTGGAACCATCTAGTCCCGGAAACGCTCACTGAGACTTCTAGTGATGCTCCCTCTCCCTCTGCGACAACAGTCTCGTCCGGAAGATCGAGTCCTGTCCTCCCGACCAACTTCGTGGACGCTTCGTTTCCTGAGTCCAGTGAAGACCATGCTGATCTCCGGGAAAGGCTCCGCGAGGTGATGAACTCAGACTGGAAATTGGAGGGTAGTTTCGAACCGAAGGGCAGTAATTATCTAATCCAGTTTATGTCCCGGGACAAGGCAAGCAAGATGTATTCCTGCTTGTTCTGGAAGGGTTCCAGTCGATGCGCGTACAAGAACCAGAAAAGCCAACATGCAAAGACGCATGTAAGAAAGCATATCAAACATCGACCGTTTGTCTGTGGCCCAGTGTGGTAAGCACTATTTTCGCTCCCTGTTTAGGTTTATCCATTGCGCCGCTTGTTCATCCAATTTCTTTACCCAGCCCTGTTAATGGGTCGAAGTGCTCCAAACGGTACTATGCTCGGGAGCCTCTGGTACAGCATCAAAAGGGTATCAAAAAATGCGAATATTGGTGAGCATGGCCATTGATGTGCCATACTTTCCCGATTACCGATCTGATCTATCTCGCCAGCGGGAAGCCTATCGGCGCTGCCAACCTCAAGCGCCACCAAGAAACTGCTTCTTGCGAAAGAGGAAGTAGCCAGAGCCTTAATGGACGCCGACTTTGATGCCCCTTCAATTGTTCTACTCTTTCTTTCCCGTTCTAATTCTGCGGAGTGGTTTTCCTCGGGATACACGACGAGGTTCTATAATGATTATATTTGTTCGTGACGATGCTTTATCGAGTATGTTTCAAAATCCTGGAGGAGAGTTCAGTCCCCGAAGGTAGATCATAAGCCTTGAAGTTTATATATTGATTGTATAGTAGTTATGGATCGGAATTTATTTAAAGGGTCCGTAGCGAAGTGGCTATCGCGTTGGTCTTCGATTATCTATGAGAACCAAAGATCGTCGGTTCGATCCCGGCCGGGCTCGTTTTGACTTCAAACTTGAAGATTTATTTTTGCAGTTTTTATCTCAACTAGACTCATGAACATCTTGCAGACATTATCTGGCATTTTCAAGGTGAATCCCGAATTTTCTCTATAAGTCCTTTGTGAGGCGGGGTGGCGATGGTACTGTACGTGTCTTAGAAAATACTTGTAAGGTTATGATCCAAATCGACATTTAATTTGCTTGGTATTTATTTATTGATGATTAATGGGTTTTAGATATCCTTTCCAACTTTGATTCGATTTACATTGGGACAACTATTCTAGTTTGGACTCATGCCTCCTCCAAACGCGACCGCCGCCTATCACTTGATTCCGTATCCAAAGACACTCTATCTCTATCAATTCAGATCGAATGCATCCTTACCTGTTTCGCTGCTGAGCCGAGAGGAAACCGACGCCGAAGGAGACGGGGGACCCACGTTCAAATCGATCACTTGGACAAAAGACGAGACATCTATCATCACAGATAAACCCATCGAAGCTTATTACAATCATGAAGGAGGAGGAGAAGGAGGAGGGACGGGCTCAGTACCAAACGCAGCGCATAAAGCCACCCAAGGTCCTGAACGATATGCAGCCCTGGCGATCCGAGGGCCGATGGATCTCTGTGAGTCAAAGTCAAAGATGATCATCAGTGTCCTTCTCGTCCTCTTTTCAGTTTCGCTGATTCGATGGGGATCCGACTTAATGCTGCTGCTGCTCGTTTTTGGATAGCATTGACGGGGGTCTTGTGTGCCCTCATTACGCCGCTGAAGGCAGCCAACATTGCCATCTTCACAATTTCCACATGGTACGTACGCGTTACCCTCTTCCATCATTTTCTTCTTCTTCTTCGCGCCCTTGTTAGTTTCCATCAATCCATCTCTTTAATTACTTGCCATCTATAGGAACACCGATTATCTTTTGGTCCCTCTCGCCCAAAAGGAAAGAGCGATCGAGGTTCTCAGCCACGACGGCTGGTCTATTGACATTTGATCAATACCCATTCACTTTTTTTAGGGGAGTCAACGCCGGCAGAAGCTGCGCGCAAAATATCAAGCATGGCGCCCAATCAAGAAAGAAGCGGCAAGCGGTGTCTGTATAACTCAGGGATCTCGTACAGATAGTAAGAGAGAGAGGATGATGGGCGAAAAGAGAAAAGAGAAAAGGGAAACATGTAGCAGAAACGGAAAACTGAATAGAGGCACTATAGAAAGATGAAGAGAAGAAACGGTGGTTAGAGCAGGAGAACAGTCCGCACATGGAATCTATAAGCAGTTACACACAAAAACACGCAGTTGTCCAGTGTGACAGATAGTCGAAGAAATAGAGAGACAGAGAGCGAGGCAAATTGTCGCCTTCAGAGCGACAACCAAAGTTATATTGACCGGGGAAACTATCTGTCTTGCCTGTTGTTGTTGATTCTTTTTTTTGAAGCATACCGTCTAAGTAGAGAGAGGGAGACTCGTTGGGGAGACAACGCAATCCCGAACAAATTTCGGAGTTGCACAAGCACAACCATACCCAAAAAAGGTCGAAAGGGGAAAGAGGGCAGGGTGTGAGAGAGGGGGGGCGTCCCATTCAATTTCATTTTTTGTCGTATCATTATTTCATTGCGTTTCGTTTCAGGGTTTGAGCGTGAGAGGTCTTCCTAAGGGATGATGATGTCCATATCCATATCCAGAACCATAACCGGCCGTGGCAGACTCGAATGCCGCCCCAGGACTGACGCTGGTCATTCCAGGCCCGAGGCCCGGTGTCGAGGCCTCAGAAGACGTATTGCCATCGACGCCAGGCGCCGGTGACTGGTGGAAACACCATTTTTCCACCAGCGCTGCATAGGAACTATCCGTGGGCACAAACGGGAATGACATTCGGTTCGCCGCATAATTGTTGGCCGGAGGGGTCTTGTCCATCGCCTCGGGAGTTCCAGGTGTAGCTGGGGGCTCAGCAGAGATTGGCGATGTGATGGTCGAGGTCAAACTGGGAATGGGTGAGCGCCTCTTTCCTGCACCTGGGATAGGCACGGGTAATGTAGATGGCTCTGGAGGAGGTGGAGGAGATACTGGCTGACCGCCAATGATAGGGCCCATCTGAGGAGGGGACGGCTTTCGATCGGGAAACCCGTTCATTAGCGTGACAGGAGATGTTGGGGGGCAATAATTAGTGAGACGGAGCGAGCCAGAGCTACTGCCAGAGGCAATGGACGAGTTGGATGCACTGCGCTGGTGTAGACTGACCTGGACATTAGAAAGTGCATTGTCCACGGGGTTGGGTTGTGGTGGGGGAGATATAGCACTAATGGTCGATGTAGCTGGGGCAGATGGAGTCGATTTTGGGGGTGTTACTGTCCCAGATGAGCCAAGCGGCTTTTTTAGTTTGAGAGGAGGCATCGATGGATCAGAGGATGGTAATGACATGGTCGAAGGGCGAAGGTCCAGTCCAGGGAACATTCGTTTCGGTCCATCAGAGTTTCGGAGAGGGGATGGACCTTTCTTGGGAGCGGAAGGAGAGTTGCCAGCAACTTTCTTGAAAGCGAGCTTGTAGTTTGCACCGTTATTATTATCCCACCATTCACCGACACCAACTGCACTGTAGCGAGCAACGAGATAAATTGTGCGTTCGGCCAACGTGCGTTCGACGTCCTCGAGCCGAATGACAAACGAAAATCGGTCCCAGCTAAGAGGTTGTGTGCCTGGGGCTATTCGCTCTGGAGGGAATGGAGACGGAAGACCCGGAAGACTGCAGACGTATTGACATACGACCTCACTCGTCGTTTGCCAATTGTCGAGCGTAAAGCGGATTGCCACGCCCTTCTCGAACGCGACGTTTTTGACCAAGATTGACCCTCTCAACGTTGGTGGTCGCATGCGAGGGAATACTAGCGTCTCTAAATGAACATTAGAGTACGGAAGTGGGTCCCTCACTGGTACCGGAGAGGATACTGCAGGGTCAATTTCGAGTCCCACTTGTGAACTATCGGCCGAGGGGGACGGATAGTTCTTAAAAAAGCCAGCATTTGCAGGAGAATCGTATCCTTCCGTCTCAGTTTCGGTATCGTCCGCGGCACCACTGACTGCACGGGGTCTTGCAGTCTTTTCGAAGACGACCACGCTCTCGAGGCTATCTTTCTTTTCAGGGAAATGGACAGTTTTGGGTCCAGAAGGCGTAGTCGGTTCTGACCTCGAACGAGGATGTTGTGCGCGCCAATCACCGATATGCGGTGATGAAGCGGAAGATTTGAGAGACGGCTTGAGTGGTTTGCCGTTTGCAAGGACCACCGGGGTTGAGCCCGATCTCGAGATTGAAGTAGAGCGAGAAGTTGGTGTCGCGGGGGTTTCGCTGTCGTGGTGCCATGGGATCAGAATTGAGAAGAGGGACTTTCATGCAGTGAACATATGAACTTACAGACTGGGGAAAGGCACTGCTGCGTTCGACTGGGAAAAGATTGTCAGTGATCGAACGGATGTATACAGAGGCACTATGAGCCCAGAGAGACCGAGGCGGGCGGGCTGCTTTCGTGGACGGCGTCGGCGCAGACGAGGTCAAACCCCACGTTCGCGAGCGCATAGAGGACACTATGGGTCTCTAACGGTGTTCACTCGAGACGATATTCCTCAAGAAATCGTCTCCCCAACAAGTTGGAAACGTGAATGAGAAAGAATTGGGGGCTGAATACGCTACGCCGAGTGTCATCGGAGTGGCTATTCCTCCCTGCCTCTGCGATTGGTGTCGAGAGAGAGAGCGAATGAACTGTGGCGCTGGTAGAGAGAGAAAAAATACGCACGGATGATGGAAACGGGATATCTGAGACTGGAGGCGTCCCTGGGCTCTCAGCGATAGAGATTCGCCTCTCTGGGGCTCGCGCGGATTCTGGTGGAGGATTTAGGGGTTTGCCATTGGGGACGCTGGGGGCGCTCTCCTGCTCGTCCTCATCGTCTGGAGCAATCTGAAACAATGGTCTCTTTTCGAACTGGCGTTGTCGCCTGGGGAGACCTGTGAGCGGTGTGAATGCGCCAGGACCCGTTTCGGTTGAAAATGTTGGGGTCGCTGAACGGGTGCGACGATGGGTCAGACGAGGAGATTCATCAGTTTCAACGGTTGTAGACGTCTGGGACGACGATGGCGATAGGTAAGGCATCCGTCCCGATGGTGTAGGTCGAGGAGCGGTCCAAGAAAGATGCTGGCTCGATTCCAGAGGGGCAGCGCTGTTTGGCCACCACAGGCTCAGTAATGAATGGATAAAGTCTCACGAGTAGATATACTGTCAGCTTTAGGCAATTCTAGATATTTCTTCTCAGCAAACGGGCAATTGAAAGAACACGACCCCTCGGTGGGACTTTGACTTGAGGGAGAAGCAATCGACTCGTTCTTCAAATACCTGCTCGATCCATCTTTCAATCTCCACGTCGTTTTGCTTTGATCTTTGATCCCGCAGAGCCACCCCTTCCCTCTCTTTGCGTTGTTCTCCCACCTGTCCGGACGATGCCGAGACGAGACATCTGTCCTCTGCGCGATGAGCTCGCCTTAGCTCCCTCTTTGTGACCGGACTGGTAAGTGATAAGACCGTGTTGAAGCGACTGTTTTCCGCATTTCTGCCCCAGTCAAACCCCCTTCTCGTAGACGAGAATCGTTCAATCAGTCTAGGCCCCGCCTAGCCGTATGAGTGGCGCGGCGGCAGGAGGATTGAATCCCCGTTCCCCCATCCCCAAGATCTTTTTCCTATCGTTTGTAATGCATCGAATAAGTTGCTCGCCGTCAACCTCCATGAGAAAGCCACGAATAGCGCTCGGCGTCGTCATATCTCCAATCTCTCGCACCCAAATTCGGCACACAGATAAAAAAAATGAAAAGGGAACGTCTGCAGTCTTGATTGCAAATCAGCAGAACGTCTTCCTAAGGGCTTGACTGTCTTGCTTCCGAGTAGATCATGATGGGATGGATGCCGTAGAGGGACGCCCAGCCACAAATCTGCGTTGGGGCTCGGACAACAGGGATGGA